TGGGTGGCTCAGTCGTTAAGCGTCTGCCTTCAGCTCAGGTCATGATCCCAGGGTCCTGGGATTGAGCCCCGCATCAGGCTCCCTGCTCCATGGGGAGCCTGCTTCTCCCTCTCCCACTGCCCCTGCTTGTGTTCCCGCTCTCGCTGTGTCTCTCTCTCTCTGTCAAAATAAATAAATAAAATCTTTAAAAAAAAAAGTTTGGTAGGGGCGCCTGGGTGGCTCAGTTGTTTAAGCATCCAACTCTTGATTTCGGCTCAGGTCATGATCTCAGGGTCATGAAATTAAGCCCCACATCAGGCTCCATGTTCAGCAGGGAATCTGCTTGAGATTCTCTCCCTCTCCCACTGTCCTTCCCCCTCCTCACTCTCTCTAAAATAAATAAATAAAAATCTTTTTAAAAAATGTTTGTTAGAGTTCACAGTGAAACCATCTGGTCCTGTGCTTTTCTTTGTGGGGAAGTTTTTATTTTTTTATTATTATTTAAATTTGAGTCAGTTAACATATAGTGTAGTATTAGTTTCAGGAGTAGAATTTAGTGATTCATCAGTTGCATATAACACCTAGTGCTCATCCCAACAAATGTCCTCCTTAATGCCCATCACCCATTTTTTCCATCCCCTCACCCACCTCCCCTCCAGCAACCCTGTTTGTTCTCTATAGTTAAATGTTTTATGATTGCCTCCCTCTCTGTTTTTATCTTATTTTTCCTTCCCTTCCCCTATGTTCATCTGTTTGGTTTCTTAAACTCCACATATGAGTAAAATCATATATTTGTCATTCTCTGACTAACTTATTTTGCTTAGCATAATACATTCTAGTACCATCCACATCATTGCAAATGGCAAGATTTCATTCTATTTGATGGCTGAGTAATATTCCATTGTATATAAATACTACATTTCTTTATCCATTCATCAGTTGATGGACATCTGGGCTCTTTCCATAATTTAGCTATTGTGGACATTGCTGCTATAAACATTGGAGTGCAGGTGCACCTTCAAATCAGCATTTTTGTATCCTCTGGATGAATACTTAGTAGTGCAATTGCTGCATCTAGGGTAGTTCTATATATATTTTTTAAGATTTTATTTGTTTGACAGAGAGACACAGCAAGAGAGGGAACACAAGCAGGGGGAGACGGAGAGGGAGAAGCAGGCTTCCCACTGAGCAGGGAGCCCAATGCAGTGCTCGATCCCAGAACCCTGGGATCATGACCTGAGCCGAAGGCAGATGCTTAACTACTGAGCCACCCAGGCACCCCTAGGGTAGTTCTATTTTTAACTTTTTGAGGAATCTCCCTACTGTTTTCCAGAGTGGCTGCGCCAGTTTGCATTCCCACCAACAGTGTAAGAGGGTTCCCCTTTCTCTGCATCCTTGCCAACATCTGTCATTTCCTAAGTTGTTAATTCTAACCATTGTGACAGGTGTGAGGTGGTATCTCATTGTGGTTTTAATTTGTATTTCCCTGATGATGAGTGATGTTGAGCATTTTTTCATGTGTCTCTTAGCCATCTGAATGTCTTCTTTGGAAAAATATCTGTTCATATCTTCTGCCCATTTCTTAACTGGATTATTTATTTGGGTTGTGTTGATTTTGATGAGTTCTTTATATATTTTGGATACTAATCCTTTATCAGATATGTCATTTGCAAATATCTCCTCCCATTCTGTCTGTTGCCTTTAGTTTTGTTGATTATTTCCCTCACTGTGCAGAAACTTTTTATGTTGATGAGGTCCCAATAGTTTGCTTTTGTCTCCCTTGCCTCTGGTGATGTGTCTAGTAAGAAGTTGCTACGGCCAAAGTCAAAGAGGTTTCTGCCTGTGTTCTCCTTTAGGATTTTGATAGTTTCCTTTCTCACATTTAGGTCTTTCATCCATTTTGAAGTTATTTTTGTGTAGGGTGTAAGAAAGTGGTCCAGTTTCATTCTTTTGCATGTTGCTGTCCAGTTTTCCCAAAACCATTTGTTGAAGACACTGTCTTTTTTCCATTGGATATTCTTTCCTGCTTTGTCGAAGATTGGCTGACCATAGAGCTGTGGGTCCATTTCTGGGTTCTCTATTCTCTTCCATTGATCTATGTGTCTGTTTTTGTGCCAGTACCATGCTGTCTTGATTATTACAGCTTTGTAATACAGCTTGATGTCTGGGGTTGTGATGCTTCCCACTTTGCTTTTCTTTTTCAACATTATTTTGACTATTCAGGGTCTCTTATAGTTACATACAAATTTTAGGATTGTTTGTTCTAGTTCTGTGAAAAATGCTAGTGTTATTTTAATTGGGATTTTGATTGGGATTGCATTGAATGTGTAGATTGCTTTGGGTAGTATAGACATTTTAACAATATTCTTCCAATCTATGAGCATGGAATGCTTTCCCATTTCTTTGTGTCTTCCTCAATTTCTTTCATAAGTTTTCTATAGTTTTCAGAGTATAGATCTTTTCCCTCTTTGGTTGTTTTTTTTCTAGGTATGTTATGGTTTTTGGTGCAATTGTAAATGGGATTGATTTCTTGATTTCTCTTTCTGCTGTTTTATTATTGGTGTATAGAAGACAACAGATTTCTGTAGGTTGATTTTATATCCTGTGACTTTGTTGAATTCATGCATGAGTTCTAGCAATTTTTTGGTGGAATCTTTCTAGTTTTCTACATAGAGTATCATGTTGTCTGCAAAGAGTGAAAGTTTGACTTCTTCCTTGCCAATTTGGATGACTTTCATTTGTTTTTGTTGTCTGATTTCTGAAGCAAGGACTTCCAGTACTATGTTGAACAACAGTGGTGAGAATGGACATCCCTGTCATGTTCCTGACCTTAGGGGAAAAGTTCTCAGTTTTTCCCATTAAGGATGACATTAGCTGTGAGTCTCTTGTATATGGCCTTTATGATGTTATGTTCCTTCTATCCCTACTTTCTTCAGGGTTTTTATTAAGAAAGGATGCTGTAGGGGCATCTAGGTG